ATAAATTGAATCAATAGGTCGATTCATTTGGGGGCGGTGCACAGCACGTGCGGTAGTGCCGTGGTAAGGTGCGGTAGTACCGCACCCCACAGTTTGAGACTGCGTCTGGTTGTGACTTTCCCTAGATGAATCGATGTATTGGTTGGATTTATTCACCACATGCTCTCTCCCACTCAAAATGTTATCACTATTCCCATCTATTACATGACATCATGTGTTTTTATCTTGAACTATGCTATGGAAATTGTTTGGTGATGTGGGAAGACATTTGAAAAATGGATTTGCTAAGAAAGAAGGAGGTCATGAGCTTGTGGAGATACTGAGTGTGGCAGTGCCGCTCTCAGGGTGCGGCAGTGCCGCACTGCCTGGGCAGCACTGTCCATAGTGTCTCTCAAGTTCATGATCTAAGTCCTTTTTCTTATCAAGACTATTCTTCAACTGATTTTCTATGTCCCATTTGTACAGTTTCTTATCTAGTTCATTCTATGCATAGATGGAGCACGGAGATAGTGACCAAAGGGGAAAAATGAAGATGAATGAGCAAAGAGACAAGGATCCACCTCGCCGTGGTCGAGGGAGGTTAATAGCAGCAGGCAGTAGTGCAGCTCCAAGGGGACTTGGTGACAGGGAGAGGCGTGAGCAATACATTGAAGATGAGGAGAGGCTGGAGATGACAGGTAGTACCACTGATGCCATTCCTAACACCCCACAACATCTCTCTGAGTTTGATGGCAGATACATGAGAGATTTTGAGGGTGAGATCATCATGAGATCTCCAGATGACTCCCGCTAGCATGTAGTTGTCAACTATTCCAAGAGTTGGAAGCTGGTGGAAGAGGTAAGGGGGAACAATCCCTATGCAGTGTGCAAGGATTTGGGCATTGATTACAGATTCTAGAATGAGTTTCATTCTAACTTTTATGTCACTGCCATTCTTGCATCCAAGAAAACCAAGATCATCAAGATGCAGTATATTGATTGGGATGAGATGCAGGAGAAGGAGGAGCCTGAGTTTGACAAGGTCAGACATCATGAGTTTCCAGTATAACTAGAATGAGGAGGTCCTTGCACAATTTCATGCCACATACTTCTATGACTAGACCTCTGATGAGATTCACTGGATGACTGATGGTCGGCACTACCGAGTCGACTTTGTCACTTTCAGCCGAATTCTTGGCTTTAGGGAGGAGCATAGAGGTTATACTTACATTCATGATGACCCTCGAGCTGAGATCTGTGACATCAGTTACATGTGGAGAGATAGAAAGATTGCAGATGGCAAGAGGAGTGGTCTACACAGCTTCTATTACATCCTCAACAACCTCATCAGGAACACCATCAACCGAAAGGATGGAGCAGCCTCAGATATTAATGGCTATATAAGAAATGTGTTGGCTAGATTTGCTCCAGGTGGGGATAGGTTCAATGTCCCTAGATTCATGTGGACTGAGTTGAGATTTGCAGTGGAGGATGGGAGGAGGGGGTTGCCCTATGCCCTTACCTCACGTTCATGATTGAGAGGGTCACTAGATTTTATTTTCTGAAGGATGGGATGCACACCGTCTACAAATTTGAGAAGACCCAGCCAGCTGCAGCTACTCAGGGAGCGGGGAGCTCTCATGCTCATGTAGATATCCTTGAGTCTTCCCGCTCTAGGTCTCGCAGAGGAGGCAAGATGAAGAAGTTTGGCAAGTGGTTGAAGACAATCTTCGTCAAGTGCACCTATGCAGCTAACAGAGTGTATGAGACATTGCTTGAGCAGCGTCAGCAACGTGGACAGGACCTTCCACCACTTCCTCCTATTCCACCTCCTTCATAGTATGACCTTCCAAGTCTCTTCAACACAGATTCAGATGATGAGGATGATGATGATGAGGAGGAGCAGCAGGGACGAGCAGTAGATTGAGATGAGACCCTAGAGGGATATCGTCAGAGACAAGAGCCGAGGTGTTCCACTCGTTACACCGTGACTACTCACCATCAGGGTCGTGCACGTATTGACTCCGACGATGATGATAGTGATAGTGGTGCTGGGACTGCTGCAGGAGGTGCTAGGGCTGCAGGAGGTGATGATATTGATTGGACGGATATCCAGGGAGATAACGAGTCGGTGTTGATCTTTCTTCTTTTCTTCTCTTTTTGGTGCTTTATGCCAAAGGGAGAGAAAATTAGAGGGGTCAACAACTTTTCGACGCCATGGCCAGCAGCTGCGCTTTATGTCCTATTCGATGAGTGTTAGTCTTCGCTAGGTGGAAAGTTTGAGAGTCGAATAAAACTCTAAATTATGAAATAATGCTACTATTTGACTCTTTGTGTATCGGATATGGACATGTATCGTTTGTGTGGATTAGAAGTTATCTTATTGTATTAGGTTGCATATTTTTTTCTTATCTAAGCTAGCTGTGTGGTGCTTGACTCTGTCTTGCTCGTACAGTTAGGTGCGGCAGTGCCGCACTCCTAGTGCGGCAGTGCCACACTCAGCTGTAGTAGCAAGCACATGTGTGCATGATCTGTTATATGCATCACGTATATATTTTTTTGACACTGTGTGCAGCACCCCACAAAGGCATGGATGTAGGGGGAGCCTCAATTTTCACTTCACTAAAGTGTGAATCTTGGCCTCTTATGTCAAGTTGAGAATTTAATTCTCTATTCACATATTTAGGGGAGGCTCTACACCCATGGCTCAAAAAAAATCTCAGTTATTCATTTTATATCTTTTGTAAGCTCTAATTGGGTTATCATCAATCACTAAAAAGGAGGAGATTGTAAGTGCAGTCAAGCCCTAATGTGGGTTTTGATGTTGATAACCACCTAATTAGAGAACTAATGAGATTTATTAAGATGACAAGCAGGGAATTCATTATAGAGGATGTCACGCGGAAAGAAGGAGCCCCCAATTACAAATAAGGACGGCATCACGCTCAAAGGAGTTTCGAATTCTTTTGTCTTTTGAAATTGAGTATGGAAAAAGCCGTACTATAAAGGGAGACACTACAACTGGTTCAAAGTGTGCAACAAAATGCTCAATCTTTACACAAAACATCCTCACACCTCAGCTAAGACAGCCAACTTAACAACTCCTTCCACCTTGCTGTCTTGCTGGGTGCGGCCTGGAGAGAGGCACTGCCGTATTGCGGCACTACTGCACTTAGGGCGGCATTGCCGCACTTAAGTAACCGTTGGGAGGCAAGGGGGTATTTATACTTTTCCCTATCCTTCATAACGTCTCTCTCTTCTTCCCCAACGGTTCAGACCGACAAAAATCAGCAGGTGCTCATCTCCTCTCTCCTCCATTAGTGCCCTTCAAACTCTCAAGTTTTCTCTTTGACTTCTCCATCAATCCTTGAGAGAAAAAGGTGTCAAAAGTGATTAGAGAGCAGCTCCACTGATTTCCAAAGCCTAAAGAATATTTGGTTCATGTTTTGACCGGCGGTTGTATTTGTTACTCTTGGAGCTTGGCTTCTAGCCCGTTAGAGCGTCGTCCAGTGAGCATGTCAAGTTTGTGGCAGCCTCGGGAGGTTTGTAACCATCTCTTGCAGCAAGTAAAATCACCCCTCATCTCAAGAGTTCACTCTCTTGACTTGAAAATAAGGTAGGGTTACAAAGCCCTAAGCTTTAGTGGTATACCTCAACGACGTGGACTTAGGCAAGTCTTGGTGGCGAGCTGAACCACGGGATAAATTCTTGTGTCATCTTATGCTTGTGTTGCTATACTTGTGTTCTTGTTGTCGTTGAGGTGATTTATAGGGTTTGAGGCCGATCTATTTGTGTGTGGTGTTCTCACACTTTCAGCAATTGATCTGTGATCTACTACATTGCAGGAAGCTAAGAAATTTATCCGATCTAAATTTTGTTGGATAGATTTCGAACTGTGAACTAATCTTTCCTGCAGGTGCGGCAGTGCCGCGCTCACAGAGCGACAATGCCGTGGGTGAATTAGACTTCGGTTTGAGTTGAATTTTTACAGGCCTATTCACTCTCTCTCTAGGCGTACCTGAGATCCTACAGCATAGAACTAAGAGCGCTTGTTGCTAGAGATAGGTGCTTGACTCATATCCTAGCCATTATGGCTTCTTGTGAAAATATGAGGATATGCCTTCATATCTGATAACAAAAGTTGGGCATTTTTAATCTAGCTATAAGAAGGTATGAAATAGAAATCTATCTACCACCTCATCCTCTGGATCACCACCGCCACCCACTACCCCACCGCCATAGTTTTCTTTAGAGATCCTCCTAACAAAGGGTACGTTTTTTTTCCAAATTCTAACTTTAAAAGCTTATTGGAACCAGAGAAAAGGGGAAATGGGCAAAACAGGAAATTTTGGTCATCGAGAATAAATTTTTGCTTGGTAACAGTGATATAGCATTTTGTGCCTCCTCTTATCTAAGGGCCTGTTCGCTGATTGGTGCTGGTGCTAGTTTGAATTGAGTGATGCTGATTTTTTATGAGAGAAAAATACTGATTTGAGCTGGTTGAAACAACAAACGAACAGACGGTAAGATTGCTTCTTTCACTCTATTTATCTAGTAACTCAATTTATATGAGTTTATTCGTAAAGAACGCAAAATCTATCCCGCGAACCATCGCGTTCTAGCGCAACGACCTCTCTTCTTCTATAACTCCGGCTCGGGAGAGTCTGGCCGGCGATGGGGGACATTCCGAAATAGCTGAATCCCTGTGTTAATCAGGGGTAGAGAAGGAAAGAAAAAAAAAAAAAAAACAAGCGCCGGAGTCTGCACACAGCCAGACAGCCTCCTCTCCTCACTCCGGCCAGGAAGAACAGGAAACCTCGCAGATCCGCGCCCCCCTCCGATCACAGGTTCACCTCATCCCCGCCACTACCGTTTCCACTGCCGGCTCCATCCGCTCCACCAATTCCTGCTCAAGCTGCTCCAGCTGAGAGACGGAGAGCCCTGCGGGAAGGCGAGACGAGGGGAGGTCCAAACCCTAGCCGTAGATTGCGGGCTCCTCCTCCTCGCCGCCGCCGGCGGGGATGGAGATGGTGGTGGCGGCGCCGGCGCTCCCCGCCGAGGTGGAGAGGGCTCTCATCCGGGACATAACCGTCGCGGCTGATGCCCACGCCAAGGAGGGCGACACCTTCTTCCTCATCACCACCAGGTCCACTATGCCTCTCCGTTCGCCGTCTCCCTGCTTCCCCATCCCTGTCGATCTACTCCCTGATTCAATCCCCGTTCGCGCTGCCACGCTTGGAATGATCCTGCGGGGCGCAAGATCGTTTTTTCCCTTCTTGCTGGTGTTGTTCGTTGGTGGAGGAATATGCTTCGGCGCCGCCGGCGAGGTGGCGCCTCGGCGTTGGCATCGGAGGTGGGTTTAATGCGCGGCGGTTTATGTGTTCCTCTCTGCTTAAGGATTTGCGAGCCTTTCCTCCTCTGAAGCGTTGTAGTCTTACCAGTTGAGTGCGGTTGAGTGCGCTCCTCTTGACGCTGATGGCGTGTTCTCCTCTGCTTTGCAAACAGGATTGGGTAGCCATGGTGCGCGGCGCACGAGATTTTTTTTCAGCTGTGAAAGTTCTAGAGACTTATGTCAGGCATTTTGGACCAGTTGTGATTTAGGACCTTTGAGGATTGAGCATTCTACTGCTCCTATATTCGGAGATTTTTTTTCAGCTATGAAAGTTCTAGAGGCTTATGTCAGGCATTTTGGACCAGTTGTGATTTAGGACCTTTGAGGATTGAGCATTCTACTGCTCCTATATTCGGTCTCTGAGATGCTTTGAGCATTTTAGGACATTTAAGGGCCCCTTTGGTAGCGCTCTTCCTCCGCTCCCCGCCGCTCCACTCAACGCTTCCCTCTGCTCCAGCTCTGCTCGCTCCCCACCTGAAAAAGATACCGATTGGCAGCGCTTTGTCGTCATCTCCGGCTTCAGCTCCTGCGGTGCTGCGGGCGCAGGTGGAGAGGCAAGGCGCAAAGGAGGGGTGCAGGGGGGGTGGGGTGGGGTGGGGGGGGGGGGGGGTGCGGGCATAGAGGGACCCCAACAGGCCCTGCGGCGACCTCGCCTCCTTCACCAACGGCGGAGAGCAGTGGCGAAGCATGGCCCATGAATTAGAAGGGGCTAAATTGCTTACCCTGGCAGAGAGGGTGCGGCATGGAGAAGGGCAGCGCAGAGGAGAGGGCCGGCACCACTGGAGAAGGTCGCGGACGGTGTGTCGGCAGCGCGGGCGAAGATGACGACGCGGTAACGCGAGTGGTGGGTGGCACGGTCGCGCGGAGGTTTTTTTCCGCTTCCCACCTGCAGTGCAAAGGGAGGAGCTGGAGGAGCACTTCCTTGAGGAAGGCGGTGCGGCACACGGAGGTTTTGGCAGCGCTCCCCGGATTCTCGCGTGGAGCAGAGCGGGAGAAGCACTGCCAAAGGGGCCCTAAAAGTACTCCCTGTTTCCCTCTGGTCATTTAAAGAGGACGTTTAAGACTGCCTAATTAGCCCACATGCAGTTCAATTTGGTTGTCCTTAACGTTATCCTTTGATGAGCAGGATGACAGAAGGGAGTAATTTCACAAGATCTGTACTAAATTAAGTTTTTTGGTATGATCATGCATACTCATGGATTGTGGCAGTATGTAGGCTGTGGATTGAACTTGAAAGTATCACCATTTTTGTCGTGTTATGATCATAATATTTGGATGACGTTGTAAGATAAGGTATCACACCTAGTAGGATATGCCTAATACGAGATATAAGATGTATTAAAGCTTCTGGTATTTTTAATTTGGACCTGGAGTGTTTTTTCTCTTTTTCTATTGAATTGCATGTTTTACAGGTCCGCATATGGTGCTGATGAGCATCATGGAAAATTGGAAATGTCTGTTTTAGAAGGTTTCTTCAGAAATACATATTCGTACTATGTTATTCTATTCTTCTCTATCAGTTGCTTCATTTGTTTACTCTCAGTTCGGATTATAAATGCAATCTTCTTTTTTTTTGGCTCAATAGGTGGTGGCAAAGTTGGATTGATTACCTCATTCAAGATTTGACTGGTGCAACAAGTAATGGTTATCATCATCATGAGTTTGGTTCAAAAACTTCTAGAAGGCCAGGAGCTATTGACAATACCGATTTAATTGATGATGCGTCATTTGAAGTCTCCAATACGGAGATTGAGATACATGATAACTTGGTTGAGGGTCGGGATTACATACTGCTTCCTCAGCAAGTTTGGGAAAAGTTGCATGGTTGGTAAGTCACATTTATTTGAACTCTATACTGTGCAATATGATCATCAAAAGAATAATCCTCTCTGGATCTATCACTTTTCAAATGCCTCTATGCACCTAATTGTGCAGTGGCTTCTTGTCTTTGATAGTTTCTACATAGCTTAATCATTCTATTTATGCTGACCTGTCTACCTTCTTATGATTCCTTGCCGTTTCTATGGAATATGGATAACTGTCTTTCTAGGTGGTTCTAGTTCACATACTCTATTACTGTACACTGATATATTCACTTTCCTGAACATACTGAATAAAACATCAATCATAGCCAATTTTATTAAATATTCTTTACAGTTTGCGTTGGTATTTGCCAAATACATCACTTCTTCAAATGATTATATATGAAGAAAGTAGCACAAAAAATTAGTAGCCTTTGGTCTTAAATTGAACTAAGGCACAAACTGTGGTGTTGTTTAATCCCCAGATGCTTTGCATTGACTTTAAAGTAAAACCCCGAAATTAATACATGGAAGAAAGTTGATGCTACTGTGTTATGAATTCAAGTTAAGAAGTTGAGAGACTTTTCACAAACATGGTTCACTTATTTGTGTTCCCTATGTGAGAAGCTGTGACATCTTTCCATCAACAAGAAACAACCACACAACTTTTGATTTGGTGTTTGGAATCTTATTCTCATTACACAAAATGCGTTAACAGGTATGGTGGAGGACCAACATTACCAAGAAAGGCAATCAATACTGGCTTTTCTCAAACTGATTTGGCCATAGAAGTTTATCCTCTACGACTGCAGTTAATTCTAATGTCAAGAGGAGAGCGAACCTTTATAAGGATAAGCAAGAAGGTATGCTCTCATCTCTTTAGCTATTATTGAGCACATTGTCCTTTCTTTTAGTTTGTATTTCAATAAATTGATTAGATTAGACAGAATTATGTAAACCTATGATGCCACTTTGTAGGTATAACCTACTGTTGAAGTCTTTTAATGTCTCTAATAGCTTCAATAAAGTTGGAATAACTGAAAAGTTAAAAATCATCATGAACCTTTTTCAGGATACAGTTGGCCAACTCCATAAAAGTGCTTGTAAGGTTTTTAACTTGGTACCAGATGAGGTAGCTGTTTATTTTATTTTGATGTTTACGTTTTTTTTTACTTGCAAGGATTTTTTCATAGTTATTGCGGCCATCATTGGCAGGTATGCATTTGGGACTATTATGGTCGAACAAAGCATTCATTGATGGATAGCCTGGAAAAAACCCTTGATGATTCCAACATTCAGATGGATCAAGACGTGAGTCAAACCTTCTATAATAATTGAGAAGCATTCCCCCACTGCCACCCCCACCCCAATATCAAACTATATTTGTAGAACAGATGCACTACTAGTTAATGGCTGTTGTCAAGTAAATGATCTGACTGTATACTTTTATATTGTTTTCACAGATTCTAGTTGAGGTTACCACTGATGCCAATGGTAGTCTGGATGGTTTGGTTAAAAGAAACAATTGTTTTGAGAGAGAATCGACTTCTCTGATTACTGATGCTCCGAAATCAGGATTGCCAAATGAGAATTTTGCAGCCAACAGCTATACTTCTAGAAGCTATAACTCTAGTCTGACACCAAGCCTCTACCTGCGATCAACCAATGGTGATCTGGATAATGTGCCTGGTTCTAGTGGCATGAGCACGAGGGGATCACCCTTAGGTCTTACAGGGCTACTTAATCTTGGAAATACATGCTATATGAACAGTGCCATACAGTGTCTAGTGCACACGCCACAGTTTACTAGATATTTTTGTGAAGATTATCATCGTGAAATAAATCGGCAAAATCCGCTGGGTAATGTGGTAAGTACTCTTTTGACTCACATGTCCTGGAGGCCTTGATGCTTCAAGATAAAATCATTTTGGTAGAGAAAATATGATCTTATTCCATTATATTCATTTGGATAACTTTTTTTTTCATCATGATATTATTCAAAGCAGCCAACCAAATTTCAGTTTAGTTGTCTTCCATTATTCTTGACATGCAACAAGTACTAAAAGATGCCAGACCCTTCATTTCTAAAATCTGTAGCTTCTTTTGTTTTTGGTAACATTTTCCACATGTACAATATCTTCTCTTAAGTGTAGTATGTATTCAATTCTTGATTAAGTTTCTAGTTCAGATTTATGATCTTGCCATTCTAAAGTCTTGTCAGTTTTTCTTTAGTTTGGTAAGATAAGTAAAAAATCTAATGTTTGTTGACCTTGACGTACAAAGAAATTTATGTTGTTACTATCACGTACTGGCATGTGATTATTCTGAGCATTTGTGATGGACATTTTCTACAGCTATAGTGTATTTTAATTTTAATCATGCAAAAAATTGAAAAAAACTGGTTGCCATACTGCCCTTTTCTGGTTTCATTTTCTCTAGCATCCTGCATGTTAATTGTACTGAGTTCTGATGGTAGTCATGTAGGGTGAACTTGCACTAGCTTTTGGTGAGCTACTGAGAAAACTCTGGGCTCCTGGAGGACGTGCCCCAGTTTCGCCTAGACCATTCAAAACTAAGCTTTCTCGGTTTGCATCTCAGTTCAGTGGATACAACCAGCATGATTCACAGGTTTGATTGTCTCTTTAGAGTGATGTTCTATCTTATGTTATATCTATGCACTGTGGGTCCCTAAACTTTTTCCACATTCTCATCTGGTTCCATGAACTCCCAAAGTGATCATGTGGGTCCGTCAACTTTTCGTGTGGTTTATTCTAAGTTCAGTCTATCTCCAATCATGGATCTAAATTCACACATCGAATGGACCACTTGAAAAAGGACAGATGATCACTTTGAGAGCTCTGCCTTCATGGACCCAGATGAGAATGCGAGAAAATTTTAAGGATCCATGGTGCATTCCACTCTATTGAGTTTTTTTTCCTGAATCTGTATTTTGATAAAATACTGCAGGAGCTGTTGGCATTCCTCTTGGATGGACTCCATGAAGATTTGAATCGTGTGAAGCATAGACCTTACATAAACTCGGGAGATGCTGATGGAAGATCAGATGAAGAAGTTGCAGATGAATATTGGGCAAATCATATTGCTAGAAACAATTCAATCATTGTTGATGTATGCCAGGTTAGTTCTACACCTGTGAATCAATTCACTTACTGTTGTGATGCTTTGGCTCTACATAAATGCTAATAACCATTGCAATTTGGGACCACCATGTTCCTCTTGCTGGGTATTGGAATAAAATGATCCTTTGATGGCATCATAGTTCTGAGTGTGCATGTAAGCACCTCTAGCAGTTTCAGGTATTTACTGTATGTAATGTAAAGACCTTCCTGTGACCTTCCTGTTGTGATTAGTTGTGCAGATGTGCTACGTCATTACATGTGGAGCTGGATACATGTTATTTTTATGCTGAAGGATTAGCTTTGCTAGACTTACTCCCTCCGTCCCAAAATAGATGACCTCATAGCATTCAAATTTTGTCCCAAAATACTTGACCTTCTCTCTTTCCTTTGCACCTTTCTCTTTTCCCGATACACATTTCTCTTTTCCCAATATTTCTCTATCTCTACTCCTTGAGGGGCATTTTGGTCTTTTGGCTTCAGCGTTGGTTTCTGTTGGAGATTCTAAAATGTCTTCTAATATGGGGTGGAAGGAGTATATTTTATCTGTATATGTACTCTCCAGTGTAGGGTGTTTCTTACGGTGTGTATAAAGTCTTGTGCATCTTCCCTTCAGATACTTAGATACATTGGAGGCGCATGCTTGTCACAAGACACATAATAATGCTTGTTGCATGCGTGACATATTTTTGGCTCATGATTTAGTTCTCTTCCTAATTATTCTAAGGCAGATGTTTTACTGACATTTCCTTTTATTATGTTTTTCCAGGGGCAGTACAAGTCCACTTTGGTTTGCCCAGTCTGTGGGAAGGTTTCAGTGACTTTCGACCCATTCATGTATCTTTCCTTACCCTTACAATTTGCCTCAACCCGGAGCGTGACTGCCGTGGTATTTTCTTGTGATGGTAGTGTTCCACCAACACCATTCACTGTAAATGTACCGAAGCAAGGTAGGTGCAGAGATCTATTACAAGCCCTTGGCACTGCATGCTCACTTAAAAATGGGGAGAAACTTCTAATTGCTGAGGTTTGTTATTAGTGCTCACCTGAATTAATGTAAAGGTTGGCAGGTTTGATGATTGTGTGTCCTTAAACATTTTGGTTGAATTTATCTACAGATACGGAATCATAAGATCTACCGTTTTATTGATGATCCAGTGCTTCAACTGTCTACAATAAGTGATGATGATCATCTGGCAGTTTATAAGCTCCCAAAGTTGGAAAAGAGGGTGAATTACATTCAATTTGTGCATCGTCATGAAGACTTGTAAGAAAAAAAAAGACGCTGATATATGGTTATCTTCTTGCTAGAATTACAGCTGTAGTGGTCATCTTGGTTTATAATTGAAGTAAACCCAACATGTGTCATGTCAATATGCTATTTACATGATTAACATAAATACTTCTTGCACCATCTTCTGTTAATATTATCATTTGCTATTGGTAGGGACCATGGAAACAATAACACCTTGACATCTTGGAAACCCTATGGTGTTCCTCTTCTTGCACAAATATCTCGCAATGAAATTGTCACGGGTTTGGATATCCATGAGTTGGTCCATAAAATGCTTGTGCCCATGCTAAGGAATCAGGACTCTCTGCATTTGGCTGTTCAAAGTTCTGTTTCCACAAGAACTCATAGTTATCATACCGACTGCATCCAATTTCAGCTTCAGTTGATTGATGATAGCAACACAGTCATTGAAAAATCAAATGATGCTATCAGGGTCCCACAATCTTCACTCGCAACTGTATTTTTTATCCATTGGCCCAAGGAAGATCTGAAAAAGATTGACACTCATCATTTAGAGTACCTCCCAGAGGTGTTTATGTATGCTCCTCCTGCTAAGAGAACCCGTGGTGAAGCTCTCTCACTCTATGCATGCTTGGATGCTTTCTTGAGAGAAGAACCTCTTGTACCCGAAGACATGTGGTTAGTTTCAATTCCGCATTCTAAGATACATTTGACACTTACAAAAATGATAATTACTTCATTGGTGCATACTATCCATTTTGGCTGGTACACTGGTACTTGACGCTCGCTTAGACACCTTGAGTGGTTAGTAAGGATGAAACTGGATTGGATATTACGGATACCAAATATGGGTAGCTGTATCTTTTTGGGATTCGGAGTCGGATTCGGATAGTGTCAGATGCATCAAATATTAATGTCTATTCCACAACAACAACAACAACAACAACAACAACAACAAAGCCTTTAAGTCCCAAACAAGTTGGGGTAGGCTAGAGTTGAAACCCAGCAGAAGCAATAAGGTTCAGGCACGTGAATAGCTGTTTTCCAAGCACTCCTATCTAAGGCTAAGTCTTTGGGTATATTCCATCCTTTCAAGTCTCCTTTTATTGCCTCTACCCAAGTCAACTTCGGTCTTTCTCTGCCTCTCTTCACGTTACTATCCTGTCTTAGGATTCCACTACGCACCGGTGCCTCTGGAGGTCTCCGTTGAACATGTCCAAACCATCTCAACCGGTGTTGGACAAGCTTTTCTTCAATTGGTGCTACCCCTAATCTATCACGTATATCATCGTTCCGAACTCAATCCCTTCTTGTATGACCGCAAATCCAACGCAACATACGCATTTCCACGACACTTATCTGCTGAACATTTTCGGGTTTCATCTCCATTAGAATGGCTAGATTTAACGTTGACTCACCACGCCTATCATAACCCTCCTCCTTTACCAGGGCTTGGGACCTGCCATGTTGAGACAACATAGGCGGAGTTTAATGTCTATTCCATCTACATATTAGAAATCCAACTTTGACTATTCAGTTTCGGATATGATACGGATATTAAATATCCGAATTCTTATATGGATTACCCATGTGGTCTTTAAACCCTTTCGGGACGGATGGAAATCAGGAAATCAGTCCTGTTTTCATCCCTAGTGGTTACTCTGTTGGTTGCACTGGCACTTTAGTTGTTATAACTACATAAACATAACTTATGAGTTTGTTTTGTTATATTTTCAAAATTTGTGGATCCTTTTAGAAGCTGTAACAATTGAAGCCCATAAAAATATATTTGTTGATGGGGTTTTCTCTCTTTTTTTTTGCAAATTTTATTGGACAGTTCCTTGTGGTTCATCTGGTCCATTTTTTGTGGCATATCAGCTATTCAATTTTTGATCTGAAACAATGTGCAGTGTGCAATGCCACCCATGATTATTTTGTTCGCTCAAAACAGTTGCATGTGATCACCCACATTAACCATCATTTCTTAATTTGCAACCATTTCTTAATTTGCAACCAAACAGAGCCTGTTTTGAAGCATATGGTTCCCTTTCTTGGATTTTGGTAAAAATCAGTTCAAAATTTGGATAGGCACTTGAATAATGTTCCTTCCTTATGTCTATAGCCTTCATTTCTATGGTGTTTAGTGATAAAGTTATTATGCTATTCTTTTAGGTACTGTCCAAGGTGCAAAGAGCAAAGGCAAGCTAGCAAAAAGTTGGATTTGTGGAGACTTCCAGAAGTGCTAGTCATACATCTAAAGAGATTTTCATTTAGTAGGTCAACAAAACAAAAACTAGAAACTTTTGTTAATTTTCCAATACATGACTTGGATTTGACAAACTATATTGCCAACAAGAAGAGTTCAGAGCGCCAGATCTATGAGTTGTATGCTGTGAGCAATCATTACGGCAACATGGCAAGTGGACATTATACTGCACACATTAAGGTACATTTCTAACCAAACTTATTGTTATTTCAGCTTCTCTGCAAAAAAAAAGAGTGATTCTGAAGTCCTATGGCTTTCTATAGCCTTTTGGTTATCTCTATTCAGTTTTGCTGCTTTTGTATTTCTTATGGCTTTTGTAATTTTATATTGTATCTTCTGTCCTGCAATTTCATTGCAATTCAGTCTGCAATCTACCCTGCTTTGAGTACAAGGCTTGCCAAACAGTTAGGGTGTAATTGGTGCTTGCATTAGACTTTATGCAGCACTCCCCAAGCCAGTGTAATTGTATGGTCTTCGTGTTTGGTTGTCCTGCACAGGCAAGCTGCATTTGGTGAAATTGTGTTTGATTGCTTACATTGTCTTGCATGTAGTTACCTCCATGTTCTAATAGAGGTCTCATGTTTCTAGTAGAGGTAGGGGAGGTAAGAATATTTGTTTTTGTGTACTCCATCGACCTATGCAAACCTACATTGCCTAATACAATCAAATTTGTTGTACTAGCTACTGCTGCATTAGGTTTGCTTTGAGCAATGTGCAATTCTGCGTAAGAGGCTCACAAGCGTGGATACAGGCTAATGTACCCAACCAAACAGGCCCATAATGTCAGCTGCAATAGTTATGTTTTCTTTGTGAAGTGTGTTGATAAGTCCTTGATTTGTGCAGTACCAGTTTGTGCTTTTGAATCCTCATTGATGCTTCTCTATGTAGTATAGAATGCTGATGGGAATTTCCCTTTATGCAGCTTGTGGATGAAAATCGGTGGTACAACTTCGACGATAGCCATGTTGCTTCCATTGATGAAGACGAGGTGAAGACTGCTGCAGCTTATGTGCTATTCTATAGAAGAGTCAGAGAACAAGATAGAGCAAGGGGAACTAGTAATGGATCTCAGTTATATGCAAAGAGAAGCCATGGATATAGCCATAGGTAGACTAATTCATTGCTGTGGTTCGATGCAAGGGGATTCCGGAAATGACACCTGCAGGCCTTTAGTTACTGCCAGGAGTATATGGCTTGACTCTACCGCAGCTGGGAAAATGCACCATTGCCCAGTTGAGACAGAAGATTATTGCATATTTCATCTGCAGTGCTGATGCAAGATGGGAATTTTGTATAAGGTGGATTCAAGGAGTAATTGACTCTTTCTTATGATAATTGGGTAGCTTCAACAGGAACACTGGGGCTTGGTGGCATTTTGGTGATCTGTTTTCTTCTAGAAGAGAGACAAGGGGAAGCAAGAAACATTTAGGAACACCTTTTCTTTAATTTAATTTTTTCCATTTCAGTTTTCAAAAAGAAAAAAAATCTCCATTTCCATTTTTAGATTTAGCTAGCCTGTACACAACTGTTGTTGGAAATGGGTCCGCTGGTGTTGGTCGATGCTTGTGGTTGCCAACAATACTATACCCAACTATACCAGACTCTGCAGTGGCGAATGCACCTTTGACAATGTCGGTGCACATTATAATGCTCTGTTGTTGCGGGAAGAATTGTAGCTCATGTTTACTTATATTACTGGCAAAAGGCCCCAGAAATGTAAAAAATGTATGTATCGTTGTGCTGACATGTTAAACCTTATTTTGGATTCTTGCTTTTTCCTATGGACGAAGGTGTGCGCCATTTAATCTTCAACCTGAACCCACTTGAGAATGGGGATAGAAATGTTTCTGTTTGTATAAATGTGGTGATAAATATTTTTTTTCTTGTGTTAATAAGCTTACCCGATCCTAGACATGAAATTGCAAATGGATTTATCAGACCTGCCTGCAAAGGGCACACCATCTGTGCATACTTCTCGGCCTTGTAATCTTGTCTTGATTTTGGGAGAAACCCAAGGTTCTGTGTAATTTAACAGCGTAGGCACTAGGAACCATTGCATATCACCACTCAAAAACCATGGTTATTGAGGCGCTTTTGTAACACTTATCCAGTGATGCTTATGTTGCATCGGTTTTCCCAGTGGATGCTAGATATCTGTTCTTCAAAATTCGAATTACCCTAACGGGTTGTTTGGATTCCTTGAATTTGGGCTGAATTGCTTTCTTGGATTGGCCTGTTTGGACGAGCCTTGAATTGGAAATCTACATTCCACCTCAAATTCCTGGCTAAAAGAACAGAAACCGATTCCATCGTGACTTTGGACTATCGAGCGCCGTCCCTCGCCGCTTGCGTATCCACCAGAGTTCGCCCGGGCGACGCTGTTTCCTACCTGCTCGCATCTCGCACAAGGGTCAGGTGTTTTTTTTTAATTACCTCAACTCACGCACCAACTCACACAATACACACGCACCATAACACACTCACACCCTTAGTGCATAAGCTAGGCTTACAGCCTATATATAAGGCTACAAGCACACGGCAGAAAGGTATAACAGTGGTGGCACATTCGTACGAAGCACCTGAAATTTATTACGGAGGAAAACGCCGGTGAGGAAACATGGAGATCCCCGGGATCGAACCACGCCCGCCTGCTCGCACACTGTAAAAGCCAGCCAAATAAGCTAGCGCTTGTCCATAGGTTGTTTTTTTTTAACTCAAGGGTCAGGTTGTTGGGCTTCTTGAATGTATAGATGATCATGCAGCCCATAGCCCGTTGTCCAGTTTGAGGCCCAATATTTTGGCCCGACATGAGCCTGATGACTAAGCGGGTTTGGGTTAGCTTTGCCCGATGCATAGGGCTATGCCTAGGGGCGCCCTAGGCATGACATAGCCATTAAATGACATTGACCTAATAGTTTGGTTCGAGCCCGCTAACAACATAATGGGCTAAATATTTACGTAACCCAACACTAACTTTCAACCCTAATCTGTTGCTTTAGACTCACTCGACCATACAGATTCTAGTTCCCATCCATGTTGCCTCCTTCCGTGATTCCGCGTCGATGCCACGTCCCCACCCGTGGCTCCACCTCCCATCCTCGACTCTGCGTGGAGGTAGAGCACAAGACGCAAAGGGCGACGCGAATCACCCGACCAAACTCGCCGGTCATCTCTACCTCCTCCCTCAAGGTGGAGCTCCTCCGGTCATCCTCGGTCCTCGGTGTAGAGTCGCGTCCCCTTGACGAGGACTCCTCCCGCTTCGAGGCGGCCTCCTCCCGCCTAAGGCCCCCGACGGCCTAAGGCCCGAGCGTCGTTCCTTTTCTTCCCCAGCTCCGACTGCTACTTCCTCTCAAGTGCCAACTATTCTCCTTCCTTTCGTCACCGGCAAACATTAGGTCCTGTTCGTGACTAGACCTCTCTCTTCTCCGCCCTCTCTCTTCCTTGGCAAGCGCCTAATCGGGCCTCGAGCCAGCCCGGCCTACTAAGGCTTCCGTGCTCAGGCTAAAGGCTGAGCCCGTGGCCCTAATCGGTCCGGCTCGATGTCTGCAGAACGTGCTTTCACTAGGCCCATGCCGTGCCGGGCCGGGCGACCTGTTTGGCCATGTATACCCAAATGTCAGGGTGTTTGCATCTGCGCATCCGTAGATTTCTAGGGAGAAGCATATTTGGTGAGTTGCATGTGCTATGAGAGACTTGCTCCATCGATGCAAAATATCGCCGTGTCCTACGTCCGCTCGTGCAACCAAATCGGCCTACACTGTCAAGCTAGGCCGAGGGAATGCAGGATGAGAAATACAGATCCACATGTCAGTCTCTCAAAGTAGTTAGACTTGTATTAGTTCATGTAGGTAACCAAATAGCGTCTCAATTTTCTTTTCTTTTTATTCTCTTATGCAACCTCACCCCACATGTCAGACTGTCAAATTAGTTAGTCTCGAGAGACTCATGCAGGTAACTAAATGTCTCAGTTTTTTTCGTCCACTCATGCTACCTCATCAAACGCCTTCTTTTATCAAATACGATTTCACCCAGCTTGCATCTGCTTGTGAAGCACTGAAGCTTTGCCGCTGCAACACACTTCAGGTGATGAATGTATCTGATCCCAAATAAAACATTCTATCTACATCCAAACAAGAATATTAGATTCAATCAAATTTGGGTTTGTTGCAGATAAAAAATGTTTTCACGAAGAAGTTTCAAAATTTGTCGTACTATTATGTGGCGAATACGATCCAAGGACCAAGATCATTGGTGAGCTCTCATACCTGCTTTGCGTGCAGCTGCACGGTTGCGGGCGGTACTTCACCGATTTCAGGAGCTCTCGCCACGGCGCTACCCAAAGAAAACATCTCCAAGCAGCCCGGTTGACTTAAAGCGAAGGCTACTAGTTTTTTTAGAGAGCCAAGGCTACTAGCTACTACCATATCCGTCCCAAAAAATTTAATGTTTGAATTTTGTCTTAAATCAAATTATCTAAAATTTTATATAGAAATACTACCTCCATTTTCGTTTACTTGTCACCGGATTTTTACTGTAGCAATTTTGACCATACGTTTTTTTATGCAAAAGATTTTTAGATACATCAAATTTTCACATATATGATTCTTTATTGAACATACTTCATTAGTGTTATATACATTGAAGTATCTAAGATTTTTTTAGAAGAAAAAACAGATGGTCAAATTTGCTACAGTAAAAAGTTGCTGACAAGTAAACTAAAACGGAGGGAAGTACTTATATTTATATTTCCAAATAATTATCATTATGTTTATCATGAAACCTATTTTTATTGTATAACTCATTGATATCATAAACATGAAAAAACATGAAAATTTTCTTTATAAATTTAATGAAATTTAGGATAGTTTGACTTTAAACAAAACTAAAACCCGTTATATTTTTTGGACGGAGGTATACCAACTAGGACCAGGACTTGGCAACAGAAACCTATGCCCAAGTGCCACGTGCTTGAAGATTCTAGAGCTTCGATGGGAAGACAAAAACAAATAGAGGATAATGGCTTATTGGGAGGCAAATCATGTTTGATATATTTAGAATATCCAGCCATGTTCAACCGCAGCCACTGCTCGCCTCGACGCCACCGCTCCGCCCTTCCGAATTGGCTTGCTGATGCGCTCCGCCTCTCCCACCCCTGCGCGCTCCACCCCTCTCTCCTACCGACTATGGCAGCCGCACCAGCACGGGTGGCCTGTTGTGGCCAAACCCTAGCGCGCAACATGTGAGTTGGCGTGCGCGATGCCTCCAGCACGACCAAATCCAGGTACGGTCATCTCTCTCCCTTCCTCGCACCTTTGTGTCCGCGTCTTCAGGTCGCTCTCACCCACGGCGCCACCGTCGCAACATGCAACGGTGTCGGGGTTATGATACCCCGCACTACTACAATGAATATTTTCCAAGACGTCTGCCAAATGGCCTCGGAGTTGGGCGGGCCGGTTGCCCACCACCATTATTGGGTGGCCGGACAGCCAGCCCAGCAACTGCCTCGATTAATTATTAACCGAGACAAGCAACCTAAAAGACCCGCCTTGGTTAATATATATTAACCAAGATAGGCATCCTAACGCAACCACCTCGGTAAATCATTAACCGAGGCAGACATTCTAACTCAACCGTCTCAGTAAATCAGGCCTAGCCCGCTAGCCCACACCAGCCCACTACCATCACCAATATATAAACGTAGGGGTTAGGGTTTTCCGCTCCTCACTTCTGTCTCCCCATCCCGCAGTCGAGGCCGAGTGGCGCACCCCTCGCGGACGCAAAGCCCGATCGCGCGCCCCTTGGGAGGGAGAGCACGACGGCGTCCCTCCACTCTCTCCCTCACAGTCTCCCTCCCGAGCCCCTCTCCCTCCATACTCCGACGGTGGCTCGGGTGGCACCCTCTCCGACGTGGAGGCGAGGAGGACCACCCACGCGCCTCCCTCTCCAGCATGGAGGCGAGGAGGACCACCGGCGCGCCTCCCTCTCTGGCATGGAGGCGAGGAGGACCACCGGCGTGCCTCCCTTTCCCTTTGGTGGCGCGGCCTCCCTCTCCCTTCGGCGAGTGGAGCAGCGGCGGTGCAGATCCGGAGGCTCCCTCTTCTTCCCCCACCG